TTTAGTTGAGTGTTTGCGCTCATAGCTGCGACCTGAGTTGTGCTTGTGTTTAGTTGAGTGTCTGCAATACGCTCATAGCTGCGACCTGAGTGGTGTTTTGCTTTTGCATAGTGCGTATTGCTGCGAATTGTGTTGTGTTTGTTTTTGCTGAGTGTTTGGTAGGTGGCCAATGCACTCAAAACTGCGACATGCCGGTAAAGTTAGTATTTGTTTGGTGTTGTTTTTGCCTTTGCATTTTATGTGACGCTCAACACGGCGAAGTAGAAGCGAATTCCTTTGGTGTATTCTGGGGAATTGGTCTTTCGTTGATTTTGCTGTTCGTGCTTGGCTTATTTTAAAAAGTACAGAATAGAGTTGTAGAAGTGGGAATGTATGTCTTCTGTCTGTAAGCGAATTATTCAGCATTTTGCAAGAGAGTATTATTATTTGGGGATTTATTTTCTTTTGCACTCGCTGGCAAACTAACTAGTATTTCAAGACGGTGCGCGCATATTGCTGTGTATTCTGCAAACAGAAAGTTCTTGAACATTCTTTGATTTTGATGAGCACATATTACTCTATTGGATTTCGGATTGTACTTTGAAATTTCTAGTTCGGTTCGCTTCATTTTACCTAATTAATCGTTATAGAAATAATAAACAGCATTTGATTTCAGGAATAGGAAAATGCCGAAATTAAATAAGGAAGGGAAAAACAAGCCAGCAGCAAGTGCACCCAAGAGGGTAGGAGCAGCGCAGTCAGCAACAGCAAAAAAGAAGCGTGACGTGGGAAATGTAGCTAATCCTCAAAATGGTGCGTGTATATCTATGGCCGTGGGTCGTAGCTGCACAGGTCGATAGGCGTGTTTTTGCAAAATGGCCCAAGTTCAATATTTAAAAAAAAAATTTGCATGAGATTATGCATTTATCGAGATTTTAGGTGTCTTGTTCACCCACTTCTACTGCAGAATTTCGACTTGGGCAGCTGTGACTTGTGGCAATACATATTTGAGTGGTTAATGTAATTCGGAGCGCCGGCGTTAAACAAATTATTATTATTGCAAGTGTCGAATTATTGAAGTATTTGCATTGGGGGAAGAAAACCCAGCCGCTTATTTTCCAGCGATTATAGGTATGTCAATTTATACATATGCCACCTTGGGTGTGGTTATCACCATGTTTCAAGCGAATCAGCGATTTTATGAGAATGCATTTGTGTATTATCTGCCAAATAAATTAAATTGAATTATGAGTTCGGGAATTAGTCTGCGACTTGATGGTATTTCTAGCGAATCAGCGATTTGATGCGAATGCATTGGTTTATTGATTGGCAATAAACTGAATGGAGTTTGGGAATTAGTCAGCGACTTGATGGTATTTCTGGCGAAACAGCGACTTGATGTGACTACAGTGGTTTTGGTTGCTAATAAACTGAATTGAGTTTGGGATTAGTCTGCGACTTATTGGTATGAGCTGGATGCAAATTCAGGGGAAAGGGGTATATATGTAAATGGGTTTTAAGGGTAGTTGGGTAGTTTCGAAACGCATGCACGGGTGCATATGCAATGACGTCGCGTCAGACATTGATGTGATTTGGAAATTTAGCAAACGTAGTTTACTATACTGTAAGGGGCGATTAAACGTCGGCGTTGGAATTAGGCTAGAATAGTTCAAGATTTCCCAAGGCCCTTTTAAAACATTTCTCTTGGTATTTCCAGGTAGCGAACAAAGGGTCACATCGCAAGATGATCAGCAGGAGGTGATCGTGGGGGGTTCTTCGCGGAACATATCCACTATAGATAGAGCGGTATCTCAAGGGATTTCAAGCGCCAGTAGTATTCAAGCAGATATTGATTTTACGGTGGCGCAAATTCAGCGTCAATCTGACTGGTTAGCTTCGGCGACCTCGGAAGTTAGGGATGTGGAGGTGATCAAAGCTCGTCTTGATATTCTTACCACAGCCTGGGGCAAATTTGAGGAAAAATGTCGGGAGTTGCAACAGAGGTCGCGAAGTGAGCTGCAACGGGCGGATGATATGACACGGCAACAGCAGGTTGAGGACGTTTACGTAGGAGTTCGAGCGCAATTCTGCAATAGAATCAAGTCATTGCAACCAGCTGTATCTACGGCGGCATACCAGCATACAAATAGTCGCTCACTACAGTTGCAATTTGCCGAACTGCCTTTAGCAGATAGACTCCCGGTATTTGGTGGAGCCCATCGAGAGTGGATTCAGTTTAGGGACATTTTCACGGCGGAGGTTATTCAAAATCCGCACCTTACAAACTTGCAGCGCCTCCGGCGACTGCAAAGCTGCGTCAAAGATAGTGCGGCCAGGGCCATGGGCTATTGGCCTCAGCGAGAGGAGAGCTTTTCCGATGCCTGGAAGACATTATGCCTAGCGTTCGATAATGAATATTTGTGTCACGCTGCACACTGCTCGGCAATTTATGGGCTGCCCATTTGGCCAAAGGCTACCCATGCATTAATGCGCAATATGCTTGATGTGACGCGCAATAGCTTGCGTATGATTTCAAGGCAGTTGGGGGCTGAAGAGCAGCGTGACTTACTAATATTAAATTTCCTTGAGTCCCGCTTAGATAGCACATCCCGCAGCCAGTGGGAAATGGTTAGGCCAACCGATCGTATACCCAATTTACAGACCGACTTTTATGTATGGCTTGAGCGTCGGAGCAGCGGGCTATTGAGTCAGGCGACACTACCTTCATCTAATCACAGCGAGAGGCAAGTAAACAAGGCTTCAACGAATCAGCGTGCATTCCCAAGCGTGTCGTCACGATCCAGCACCCACCCTTGCTTCCACTGCTCGGGCGATCATGCTTTTCATCGGTGCCCAGGAATTGGAAGTATGCATAGGGAGGAGAAAGTTAAACGAATTTTTGAGCTAGGACTATGTCAGAACTGCTTGAGAAGAGGTCATACTGCCCGGAACTGTTTACAAAGCCGTTGTCCAAGATGCGCACGGGCACCTCACAACAGCATTATATGCCCCAAGCTATCTGGAACTTCCAAGGAGGTGCCATCACGCACATCCGCGTTAGCAACAGCCGGAGAGGGGGAAACGGTAGCAGAGCAATAGCAGCCAATGGATTATGAGAAAACCGGCCTCGGGGTTTTCAGCAGTGCAGGTTCGTCGCAGCTAGAAGAGCATATAGGATCCACCATACCATCGGGTGGAGGCAGCAATTTACACGATAACATATTAGCAACAGCACAGGTGCGCTTTCTGACCAGTAGTGGGGCAGTAGTTACGCTACGTGCAATATGCGATACAGGAGCTCAGGTGAATTTGATTAGTAAGGGTGTCGTGCAAGATAATAGGATCTGTACGCGCCGAACTAGAGTAGGAGTATCAACGGCGGTCAAGTCAAGATCTTACATCTGCGAAAAAATGGTTACCGGTCATTTTATGTCTCTTTATGACGAGGATCTACGGTTACTGATTTACTGTCTGGTAGTGCCTTCGGTATTAGGAGAAATGTTACAACCCCAAAAACGTTTGCAAAGGCAGGAAGTACCAAGTGATATATTAACATATTTAGCGGATCCGAAGTTTGAAAAACCAGCACAGGTCCAATTGCTTTTAGGGGTAGGAGTATGGGCTCGACTCATGCAAGATAACATGCGGCGCCTGTCTGCGGGGTTTGTGGCACAACAAACCCGTTTAGGTTGGCTACTTTTTGGTGAAATCTCCACTAATAACAGTGTTGTTGCTGCCCACCTCACCAAAAACGTAGGCCAAGGCGAGGAGGATTCTCAGCTTGATAAATTGTTACGAGGGTTTTTCGAATTCGAGGGTATGCCTGGCGATGAGTCCACATGGACAGCGGAGCAGCAAGCGTGTGAGGATCACTTCTTGAAAACGCTCGCGTTTGACTCGAATGCCGGTCGTTATGTGTTGCAGATTCCTTTGCGGCCTCATTGGGATAGTATTGGCTCTAATCGGGCAATGGCACTGCAACGATTCATAAAATTAGAGCAACGGTTTAGACGGGACGCTGAACTAAAGCAGAAGTATCAGGCATTTATAAATGAATATGTAGCGAAGGACTGGCTCCGCCCAGCGACGAATCCGCCGGAAAACAAGGCCTATTATATTCCCCATCATGCTATAACGAAAAAGTTTAGGGTTGTTTTTGATGCCTCTTGTTTGACGGACACTGGCATATCGTTGAATGATGTGCAAATGATCGGACCGAAACTGCAGCAAGACCTGATTGATCTCCTTTGGGGATTCCGTTTGAACACGTATGCTGTAACGGCGGACATCAAGCAAATGTTCCCCCAGGTAAAGATAGCAAGGAAGCATTGGGACCTACAGCGCATTTTTTGGAGGAATGATGTAGGAGAAATAGTGGAATATTGGCTGACGGGGGTCACATTCGGTATGGCATCTGCGCCATTTTGTGCCGTTCGGGCGATGCAACAGTGTGCCAGAGATAATTCAGCTAGGTGGCCTCGAGGAGCCAGAGCGGTATTAAACAACTTTTACATGGACGATTGCTTGGTGGGTGAAGACACGGAAGAGGATTTGCTTCTACTCTGCCATAAAATGCAGCAGCTGCTAGCCGCCGGGGGTTTCGAACTCACTAAGTGGCAATCAAATTCGGAATATATTAATAGTTCCATTGGTGCGCATTCTGCTGAATCAGCTGCTTGGCTGAATACCCATACGGAAGCATCGGTTCTTGGTCTCAAATGGATGCCCGCAACAGATGAGTTTGCCTTCGCAGTTCAACCCCTTCCAGATATTCATGCTACGAGCTGGACTAAGCGTTCAGTCTTGAGCATAACCGCACGAATTTATGATCCTGATGGCCTAGCAGCACCGTTTATAGTCAATGCAAAGATACTTATTCAAAAGATCTGGAAGGAGAAGCAAGATTGGGATATGATACTATCAGATCCATTGAAAACGGCCTGGCAGAACATTTTTCTCAAATTCCACTTTTTAACAATCTGCGCATACCACGGTGGATAGGTTACTCCCGGCGACTCACTATGACGTTACACGGTTTTTCGGACGCGTCCACGCTTGCATTAGGTGAAGCAGTATACGTGACAATACATTCTGGGGCTGAAGTGAAATCGAATCTATTACTATCTAAATCTAAGGTGGCGCCTCTGCGAGGAGAAACCATTCCACGTCTCGAACTGCGTGCTGCAGTGCTGCTTAGTGAGCTTATACAACGGGTAGTGAACATTTGCAAAACTCAACATAATATAATGATCGGCTCGATCACGGGTTGGTCCGATTCGATGGTAGTCCTCTGCTGGTTGAAACGGGGCGAAAGTAGCCTAAAGCAATTTGTAGCAAATCGCGTACGTCAGATCAATACGAACACAGCTGACTGCGATTGGAGGTATGTACCCACGGATATAAACCCAGCAGACCTGATTTCTAGGGGAATGACAATGAGGGAGTTGATTGAGTCCGAACTTTGGTGGCATGGGCCTGATTTCCTTCGACAACCCGAGGCTATGTGGCCAAACCCACCAGAAAGGATATCCGAGCAGGTCGAAACGGAAGTTAAGAATGAATGTCGACGCGTAAGAAACCGCACAGATCGGACCAGTGGTCAAATGGTGGCCAAGGTCAACGCTATATATATCGAACAAAAGCCATTATTAGAGCGTTACTCTTCGATGAATCGATTGATAAGGGTAACTGCGTGGGTATTTAGATTTACACGGAACTGCCGATCACCATCGGCCGAAAGGCAGAACCTTCACTTAAGCGTCAAGGAACTCGAACACTCACTTACATTTTGGATCCGACAGGAGCAAAGCGACTTCTTTGGGGATGATATCCGAAAGCTCGAGCGCTGGGCTCAGCACCAGCAACCGGTAGAGACCTCGAAGTTGTCCAATTCAATTGCAATTTTGGCTCCGTTTTTGCAAGATGGCGTACTACGGATGAGCGGCCGACTGCAAGCGGCAGATATACCGGACGTTCAACAAAATCCAATCATATTACCAGGCAAGGGGAGATTGGCCCTTTTAATGGCACGCGCAACACATGTCAAATTGCTGCACTGCGGGGCTCAGCAGCTTATAGCCGCACTAAGACAAAACTACTGGATCCTCGGCGTGCGGTCGCTAGCGAGATCAATTGTCAAATTGTGTATAACCTGTGAAAGGCTGCGAGCCAAGACGACCGAACAGATGATGGGAAATCTTCCGGCGTGTCGGGTGCGTCCAGCCCGTCCATTTGTACATACGGGAGTCGATTACGCAGGCCCCATACAAGTCCGTCCAGATCGACGCCGGGGAAACGTCGTTATTAAAGGATATATCGCGGTGTTCGTGTGTATGGTATCAAAGGCGGTGCATTTGGAATTTGTATCAGATTTATCTACCAAGGCCTTCGTTATGGCCTTTATTCGCTTTACGTCGCGCTATGGGCACTGTCTGCATCTATGGAGTGATAACGGAACCAATTTTGTTGGCGCAGAACGTGAGTTAAGTAGAATGCTGCAAACTTGGCAAGCCTCAGACCTCTTCGACCAATTATCAGCACGTCAAACCGAATGGCATTTTATTACACTATCTGCACCGCACCAAGGAGGGCTTTGGGAAGCCGCGGTGAAAGCTACCAAGCACCATCTCCGACGAGTCATGGGAGCTCACTTGTTAACGATCGAAGCCGTACAAACTGTGCTAGCAGAAATTGGGGCGGTCCTCAACTCGCGTCCATTGTGCGCCCTGAGCGCTGACCCACAAGACTTATCGCCCCTTACACCCGGTCATCTGCTAATTGGTGAAAGTTTAGTACCTGTGCTAGGGGAGCAAATACCAGTGGAATGGCCGGAGAATCGCCTCGACTACTGGCAATCTCGGCAACGAATCACTCAGCGTTTTTGGAAACTGTGGAGCAATAGCTACCTGCACGAACTTCAACAGCGACCCAAGTGGCGAGAGAGCAGACGGAATCTCAAGATAGGCGACTTAGTAGTCATAAAAAACGAAGCTACGCCACCGACCCTATGGAAAATGGGACGAATCACCGCATTGCATCCAGGGAGTGATGGTCTAGTCCGCAATGTCACACTTTGGACTGGCAATGGCTCCATTAATCGGCCAGTACAAAAGCTATGCGTTTTACCTGTAGAACCAATTGAGCCTCGAGTCACACCGAGTCTCAAGGCCGGAGGATGTTCAAGCGTGAGAGAGTAACCTGTTTTCAGTATTGTATTGGAGCGAGTGCGCGGCGGTTGTGTTTTCAAGTCAATAAAGAATATTAATTAAATCTAAGCGAGTCGTCTATTTATTTAGTGCGGAAACACAGCCCAATAAAAGAATTTCCGAACAACACCACTCTGTACCTGCTGAAATGTACAAATCGAGTGATCCCTTCTTAAGATGAAGACAAACATAGGAAACTGCGAAAACGTTAAAATTGAAAGCTAACATAAGTGCATAGTATAAATTTTGGTTTTATGTCTGTTCTGTATGTGGAGATTTTTGCAAATCATTGGGAAATTTATACACACTTATATAAGAAAAGCATACCTGCTTTCGAACGAAGTAGTATTTGTATCTAGTATTGCAAGAATATATAGCATTCTGTGGAAAAATATGTATGTAAGTTTACTACATACATACATATCGTCGATGTTTTTGCAAAACCGCCCATCGACCAGTTGCAAAACCGCCTAAATCGTCATTGAGACAAAAACGAGATTTGGTGACCTTGAACTCCAGGCAACCAGTATTTTTTCCATGAGAATCGTAAAATCGTTATTAAACAACAGATTTGTAAAATAGAAGCTAGAGAAAATACCGCCTATCAAGGCAATGCCTTCAATGAAAACCCGTTTTTTCGCTGTCCTGTAAAATTTTAGTGCCGTAAGATACAGAGGCGGTTTTGCAAATTGGTCGATGGGCGGTCTTGCAAAAACATCGACGATATGTATATGTACATATGTGCGCTCTTAGGATGAATGCACAGGAAATTACAACTTTGGTAACGTTGCTAGAGCACTTTTCAGGTTTATGTCTTTAACACCAACTTATTTTATTAGCAAATTTTTACGTATAACGCTGAAACCGAATCGCAAACGCACTACAGAGTTTCACGCTGTCAAACGACAACAATTGACTAAGGGCCGTTCAATATCCGGTTAACACAAACCGGTGGTAAAATGTTGATAGTGACGTTTAACAGGGAGGTAATGATAACCGGACATTGAAAAAAACGGCCCTAAGGGTAGTTTTCGGCATCTCTGGTTAACACTAACCTCCATTTAAACATCGTTATCGACGTCACCTACTCTCTGTTATATGCATAGCAGTAGTGCTCTATGAGCAAACATCTATAAAGATTTTATCTTGTTGCCTTAAATAAAAAAGTTATTTAAATGTAAATTCTATCTTAAACTGAAGCATTTTCACCTAAGTTAATCCTTTTGACCACTTCGGTATGTTAATTATAGACAATTGTTTTCCGTTTACCTCTAATATCCCATGGCATACGACTATGCAGCATTATCCTTAACAGTATTCAAAAGAAGCACATCGTACTAACTGAAATTTTTTCGCGGGATAGTAGAATTATGTACTCTTTTTATAGATGCATGCATGTGCATTTTGCGTGCCTTTTATCGTATTTCTGTATTTCACTAACTCATGTGTGAGGAAACCAGATAATGTTTGGCCATGTTAAACACAGCTGAAGCTAATTTCCGGTATTTCTCTTACTAGCGCCTGAAACTATACATATTATTTAACAAATTTATAGCGTTTTTACGTCATTTGACAAATTACGCTCCGTTAGCCACAAATTTTACTGTGTTTTGACCGCCTTTGTATCAAGACCCCTGGACCATCTAGGGAATTAATTTATACAGTATACTTTGCTTTGCTGCCTCTATGCTTAAGTGCACATTTAAGATACCTACCCCAAAATGCGCATCAAAAGCATTATTTTCACCATTTATAGGTAAACTGCTGCGATAGATGCATTCAACATACCTGCACATTGGCGATACCTGCCTTAAAAATTGTGCGACTAGTATCAATTATCAATGAAAGTATTACGTTTACCTGCACTGGCCCTACAATTACCTAATTTTACAACCTTTTATTTATTTTGCTCATCTCGCAGAACAACGAAAATGGCTATCAATTTATGTAGTTATATAGATAATTAGATAACATTCGGTAAAAATTTCGCTTGNAGATAATTAGATTACATTCGGTAAAAATTTCGCTTGCAGTAATTTCTACATGGTAAGTGCTCCGCCAATATTTGGTTTCATTGAAGTAGTAAATAAATCGCTTAAGTGCCTTTTTCGGTTACGTGCACAAGTTTTTCGTGCAAAGAAGGATGTGCAGCTAAGCAAAATATACTGTATATTATATTGCATTGTCATCGTGATTGCAGCTATGCTGAAAATTTCAAGTCTTTAGCTTGTCGGGAAGTTAGTTTGAAATAGATTGGAAATTTCGCCGGGATCACCAAGTTAAATAAAAGCTTGTAAAAATGGAAAGCCTGGGCGGCATCTTGGACAACAAAACTATAATTTTCTGCAAAATCACACTGTACGATGACTTCTCTTTCGTTTAAATTTTCCCTATAATATATATATACAATATAAGCATGTGGATTCAGAGTGCCCAGGGCATCACACAAACTGTCTACAAAATCGTCACTGGACAGAAGTTGATTGGAGATTATGAAGCGGCCGGTGCAAAACCAATTTTTAAACTGCACGTAGCATCATACTTAGTGCAAGGTACATATATGGGAACAAATTTACGTGCCTCCCAAAATAATGCAGATCACATATTATAACTATACCTAAGACTATATTTAAAAAAAAAAAATTTTTATTGATCGAAGTTTCTCAAATTTTTTTTTACATTTTCACTTCCGGTGTAGTATAACAAAAAAAAATATAAAAAACTTTTTTGGAAAATTTATTACGCCTTTTAAAATACGAGAAATTTTCTCATCAAATCGCGAAGTTTAAGAAATTTTGAATTTATTTTCAATACGAAAAATACTTTAGAAAAAACATAATTTTAATTTTTACTATTCTTTGGAAGCCCATAACTCGAAAAGTAACCATCATGTATAGAAAAAATATATGCACACAATTTCATATTTCACACAGGCACAATTACTCAAAAGATGAAGGAATTTTTAAAGCATCACCCTTTTTTCCCTGTCCGCTTGACGCGAAATGCCCCTTCTGCATTAGTAGTATGTACGAAAGATTTAATAAATAAATCGAATAGAGAATTGTAGATTTCGTATATTTTAAAACCACACGTAAAGATTACGAATGCCTTTGTGAAATATACAAAATTATTGGTACAGAGATTTGTTCGGTAAATTATGCATGTGTTTTGTAAAATAAACGAAAGTTTTTATAAATTGTACTGAAAAAATTCCTTACGAAACTCCTTTCGTTATATTTACGTATAGATCGTAAAGCCTTGTTTCGTTGTGAAAAATGTGTTCGTATTATGAACGAAAGTTTCGTACGTTGTACAACAGCGAGACTACAAAAGTTTTTCATAGTGCTTTTTCGAAATGTTATTTTCAGTGTACGTTCAAATTGGCCCCATTTAAGTTGTTAAATGAAAAAAGAGCTTTTCGCAAAACGCAATCGTTCACATTGGACATTTGGCGATAATTTTGACGGATGTGATTACGAAAAACATTAAAAAAAATATTCAAAATCAATTTTTTGTTTTCAATTTGTTTTGTACGAATATCTGCTTCATGATATTAACGCACTGGGTTTACCTAAAGACACCAATATGTTTAGTTCGTATGCACTAATTACACTGTACAGCACTCGGCTGGGTATTGGACCAAACTAACTTTTTTTAACCGTCCTGTCATGAATAATTTTTCTCCTTAGTTCGCATGGCTGGGTACCCGGGTACTACAAGGCAGTTCAGACAGTTTCTTTGCTAATTTAAAAAAAATCAAGTAAGTTGGGAGCAAGGTGTATTAAACAAGGTGTGATTGAAAACTCAGTGGGGCTCTCTTTTAAGATACTATAATGTCAAAAAGTATAAACAAACGAATTAACCCTTAGTGATGCATGTATCTTGTCAGCACTGATACCCAAGGCTTTTATTTTGATTATAGTTTTGTTATACTACTTGTTTATTACCTGGAATATATATATTTTGTCAATAAAATAAAACAAATTGTTTATAAAATCGTTTTAGCAATTTTCTGGCTTTTAATTGTCCAAGTTTTATGCTTTTGTGCGTTTATTTTTATATTTAATTTTTTTGTCCTAAAATTATTCGACACTTATAAAAGTATGATTTTACATTTTTTCCAATTTGTTATGTAAGCTTAACTCTAACAATTTTGAAATTAAATTTTTTTTGTGCGAAATAGTTTGGGTATAAACGAGCTCGTTTGAAAGTGCTTGACTCGGACGGACAACAAATCAAATCACTTTCCTTGAAGTGGTTTTCACAAATGCGAGATGAATCACGTACTACAACACCACATCGCTGCCGTCTTAACTCGCAACTAGGTGGTTTAAAACATCGCACTATTTTCGTGTCCTGACTTCTATTGCACACAGTGTACCGTTGAAAAGTTTTGCTGCGTTTCATCTTGGTTTCCTTACATTAAATATTTAAGCAAACTCGAACGTATTTACTTATTACTAAACTTTAAATGTGCTGACTTGCTCTCCTCGGCGGTTTATCTCTTTACAATTTCACGTTTATTAAGAAAATGTGTTGCTTGAAAAATTTTTGTGTAAATTTTTTTTTAAACAAATTCAAATTTGAAAAAAAATATTTTCAAATGGGTTAACAATTCATTTAAATTTGACATTATAGCCTGTTTCTTATGAGAGAAATGTCAAAATCAATCACACTTTGTTGAATACATTTTGGTTGGGTGTTTATTTGAATTAACGAAAACATATTGATTACAAATTACTCTTCTCAACATGAATTTGAAATTATCAGCCTTATTGCGTAAGTCGTAAATTAGGTTAAATTGTACGACTCGACAACAGCAGCATTGTCTATTGTCGTACTGAAATAAGTAAACGACCAAAAGCGTCGAAAACTATACAGTGCTGCCAAGGTTTTCCGTTTTAATACACTAGTCGAGTGGAAATTTTAGGCAATGGCGTGAAATTTTCGATACGATTCGACTCTCGAAAAACGACTTGCATTCGATACGA